CACAGTAAAAAATTTTTCGTCAAATTTAACACAAAAATTTGTGTTAATGACTTTTTTTACACAATTTGTGTTAAATCAACACTCTATTGTGTTGAATCAACATACGAAAATGTTAAATTCTACACACTAAAATGTTAAATTCTACACAAACATTTTTACACTTTACACAATGACGAAAAATTTTTTACTGTGTTTTTAAAAGTTGGGTCAAGATTAAATATTTATTTTTAGTAGTAACCTTGCAGTCACTACGTGACTGCTGTCATTTGTGAACTATAAAAAACTATAATAATGAATTTTGTTGAATTGCACTGTACGTTCTTAAATATTGATGTTTTTTTAAGATATAAGCTCATCTTGGTGTTATACTCATCAAGAGCTTTCATTTGAGTACCCACATGCATTTTGATATATTTTTCATATATGGGTGATTCTTTGTAAGGACGTCTTAAATCTGTACAAAATTTTCCGACCAAATTATTTTTGATTTTATTAAAAAAAAATTAATAAGGGCTACAAAACTATCAGCTTAATCATAATAAATATACAGCCGATTTAATTTTTGCTTTTTCGATATTTGTGTATCTTTTGCCATATAACATCACAGGGGACTGTTTTTTTTTTTTATCAAATTGAGAAAAATCAAGCAAACTATTTCAATGCATTCAACTTTTCAAGTTCTCAATCAATGTTTACATTAATTAGAATAATATTAAGACTTATGGATCGAATTTTATAAATAAATTATAAATAAAAATAGTTGCCAGGGGACTGACGTTTTCAAGTGGCCCAGACACATATTTCCGGCACAAACGGTGCTTTAACACTAAATAAAATCCCGATAAAGCGCTAACAGCCCTATGGTTATTAACTCAAGGCTAGTTAGGTCCTTATAAACCTTACAAAAGGTAAAATAACACGGTGGATTTTTTTTTTGACCTTGAACTTCTGGCAGGGGACTGTTCTTAAAATGCCTGGGACAAACTTTGGTTTAATGAATTAAATGAAACAAATTAATTTTCGGTACTTTTTATTGAAGAAGATTGTTAGTTAACTAATTAAGTTTATAAACATTATCGACCAAATTATATATTATGGATGAATAACTTAAAATTTAATCTTAAAGTTTTAATTTTGAGAATGGGACAGCCCAGGGGACTGTTATTTCGGTGGTTTACCAATTTGTAGCAAAAAAACCAAAATTTATTTCATTTTAGTTTTCAATGCTTTAAATAGAAATATTTTTTTACTTTGGTAATAAATTTTTTTTAGTAACAAAATAACAATTTTTCTAATAAAAAAATGCCTGGGACAGCAAAATACATCCTTACAGAGAATCACCCATATATAATATACATAAATATATGAAAAATTGATGTCGGTACTCAAATGAAAGGTCTCGATGAGTGTTATGTCGGGGTGAGCTTATATCTTTAAAGATGTCAATATTCCACAAGATATAAGGTATAAGGTCATTTCTTAAATAATATTGATATTTTTAAAGATGTAAGCTCATCTTGATGTTACACTCATCAAGAGCTTTCATTTGAGTAACCACATGTATTTTTAAAAATTTTTTTCATTTATATAATATTACAAAAATAGAAAATATATGAAAAATTGATGTGGGTACTCAAATGAAAGGTCTCGATGAGTGTAATGTCGAGATGAGCTTATATTTTTAAAAATGTCAATATTTCACAAGATACAAGGTCATTTTTCAATTACGTATCTATAGAGCATTTTCAAATGCAGCCTAAATACTTATTATAATAAATTGACTATCGGTTAGAATTAAATAAAACCTTGAAAAGGCACAAATTCAAGTCAAGATCTTTGCAATGACACTAAATTTTTCTTATTCTCTTAATAATATAGATTTTTCTAATTGGGAATATTCTTCTACATTAAGAAGAATAGCCTAGAATTTTTTTCATACAAAAAAACTTGAATACAATCTTAAAAAAGTTTCTTATAGAAAATAAATCCTGATTCCAGATGCACTCAAAAACATTAGAGACATTAAATATCGGACAAAACGCCATGGGAGATGAGTTTTTGGAGGTATGTAAAAACTCATTGCGACGAAATCAAACCTTGCTACAACTAGGGGTCCAATCAACGGGGCTAATTTCCAAAGGGATTCTCGCTCTCGCAGAAATAATCGAAATGAACGACACCCTGGAGCGAATAGACCTGCGGGACAACAATCTCCAATTGACTGGCTTAACCTTTTTATCTCTAGCGTTGAAGAAGAATACCAGCGTAACTCGGATTGACCTGGACGAAAAAGCAATCAGTAAAATAGTAAGTTTCAAAAGCTTAAAATCACTTTCAAATCTCAATTACTCCAAAATAATTATTTATTGTTTAATTTAGCCGGCAATGGCCGACCAGTACCTAGAATTAATCAACGAAATTCGCGGCTACTGCGAGCGCAACGAAGAATTGCACGACAAAGATTCAAGCACATCAGAATCAACAAGCCCGGAGCACAGGAGTAGAGTATCAAGCGTTAGCTCGCGTAAGATCTCGTTGACTTGTCAGACACTGCCAGCACGTTCGCCTCCTTTAACGGGTACCACGAGCGAGGTGATTGCCGTCGGTACCACAAAAACGTCATCGTCATTACCATCGACGTCAACGATGCAAACGGCGAAACGTACAACCGGTGGACGTTTGCGTTCACCAGCGCCCTCGCCAATTCCCTCGCCCGTGGCAAGCCCGATCCCAAGTCCTTCTCGAAATCGTTTCGTCGTATCACGTGTCTCTGAAACTTCACTAAGTTCTACTAATTCATCCGACTCATCATCACCCGTCACCCCACCACCGTCATTTTCATCTTCCCCCACTATTTCCTCCTCCCCCTCATCATCATCATCATCATCAGCCTCCTCCACATCAACTTGTTTCTTCCCGCCAGATGGGTCACGTTTTCGCGTTACTATTGTTACACCTGCCTTAAAGATTAACGAGACCGAATTTACCGACTCTGATGATTCTGACAGTGTCTTTATTGACCAACCGTCGGTAAGGCCCGAAATCAGGCCCCCTATCGTCGAAAAACCTTTGGAATTGAATTTTAAGCCCTCGAATATTGATTCTGCACCTCAATCTAACTTACCGACAAAATCTACATCATCTTCAGAAGAAATAAATAACTTATCAGAGCTAAGGCTTGAGTCGGTAACAAAAGTACCTGATTTATCTGCAGAAGATTCGGAATTAAATAGAACAACAATTAAATCTAGCTTTACCACGGAAATAACGCAGAATTTTACAACAGACATAATAACGCCGACTTTCAAATCTGAAATAATTATTCCTACCTTATCAACAGAATCTAATCTTAATTTGTCAGATGGTACTGACTCTACCTTACCGACAGTCGAATTTAGGCCAGATGAAACTTTAATAAGGCCCAATGTACTAAATGAATTTGTAGAATCAAATTCGGTGGAAATAAACCAATCTGAAGAAGCTATAATGCCTACCCAATCTAAAGAAACTATAGTTAGTTTTGGCCAATCTGAAGAAGCTATAATGCCTACCCAATCTAAAGAAACTATAGTTAGTTTTGGCCAATCTGAAGAAGCTATAATGCCTACCCAATCTAAAGAAACTATAGTTAGTTTTGGCCAATCTGAAGAAGCTATAATGCCTACCCAATCTAAAGAAACTATAGTTAGTTTTGGCCAATCTGAAGAAGCTATAATGCCTACCCAATCTAAAGAAACTATAGTTAGTTTTGGCCAATCTGAAGAAGCTATAATGCCTACCCAATCTAAAGAAACTATAGTTAGTTTTGGCCAATCTGAAGAAGCTATAATGCCTACCCAATCTAAAGAAACTATAGTTAGTTTTGGCCAATCTGAAGAAGCTATAATGCCTACCCAATCTAAAGAAACTATAGTTAGTTTTGGCCAATCTGAAGAAGCTATAATGCCTACCCAATCTGAAGAAACTATAGTAAATCTTGGCCAATCTAAAGAAGCTATAATGCCTATCCAATCTAAAGAAGCTATAATCCCCATCCAATCTGAAGAAACTATAGTAAATCTTGCCCAATCTGAAGAAATTATAATGCCTACCCAATCTAAAGAAGCTATAATAGCTACCCAATCTAATGGAACTATAGTAAATCTTGGCCAATCTGAAGAAACTATAATCCCTACCCAATCTAAAGAAACTATAATGGCTGCCAAAACTGAAGAAACTATTGTAAGTTTTGGCCAATCTAAAGAAGCTATAATGGCTACCGAATCTAAAGAAGCTGTAATGCCTACTCAACCTACAGAAACTATAGTAAATCCTACCCAATCTAAAGAAGCTATAGTAAGGCATACCGAATGTAAAGAATCTATAGAAACCTTAAGGCCTGAATCTTCTGAAAAAAGGTTAGATTCTAATGGCTTAAGATTAAGGGAATTAGAAATAGAAGAATCGTCACATAGTAACGAAAGGCTAATAGACTTTTCTGATTCTAATGAACCTGAAGATAGTTCTGCAGTACCGACTGATGGCAAAAACGATTATAGTTCTACCTTACCGACTATCGAATCAAAATTAGATACAAGGCCTGTTACGTTAACTGAACAAAGTATAGTAGAGTCTAGAGCACAATCATCTAACCCTTCATCGAGTCTCGATCGTCTTTTGAGCCTTTTTCAAAACCCCGGGAGCCTGTTTACCGCTTCTGCGTTCGAACCTACGGTACATAATTATACTTCGCCGTTTAGTCACGTTTCAAGCATGATGGCGCTAGGTGACAAGTTTCAAAAATTTTTGCGCGAAGGCCTGATTGATTCAAATGATAATTGTAAAAAAGAATCATCAGATTGTGCATTTAAAGGCAGTAAAGTACCTGTTGAGGATAATAATCATCTTAAAAATGATTTAACGTTACCAATGACGTTAAACGTCACTAATTGTGATAACACAAACATCAGTATTAATCATCCTAATTTAATAAATAATGATACTCATTTATTAAGTAATCTAACGTGTGATATAAGTGTAAATAATTTATTAGATGATATTACGGTTGATAAGGACCATAATAATATATTAGTTGATGATAGTAATGATTTATTACACCCAGAAGTAGAAATTATTTATGAACATTGTGAATCTTTTGATGATCATCAAAATCAAATTGAAAGCAATGATGAGGAAGCTTCTTTTTCACAAAATTTATTGATTGATAGATCGGTTGATAGATCTGTTGCTCATCGTAATAGTCAAGATTCTGGAATTGAAGAGACTAATACTTGCGAAGATAATCTGGATGGTTTTGCTGGGAGTTTGGACTCTGGTATTGAATCTGAGTGCTCCTCGGTTTGTGTTAAGACAGATGAAATTGTTAATGATGAGGCTGATGATATTGCTCGAGATGGAGGCGTTAATGATAATGATAATGATAATGATAATAATGATGATAGAAGAAGATTGGAAGAAATTAAAAAGGCTCTTAACATTCCTGTTTCTAATAATGATGATGATATTTGTTCAAATTCATAGCCTTGGATCTTGATGGATTGAATTTTTTAATTTTTTTATCAAGTGAGTGGTGATTAACAAATTAATTTTATTAATATTAATATTATAAGGTTACTTATATAAAAAAAAGACGGATTTTTTTTGGATAGGATTTCTTCCCAATTTTATTACATTCGTAACTAAATTAAAAGATTCTAAAACTTGTGTTTTGTTTTTAATTAATTGACATTTTTTGTTAAATCGATAAAGTTTAAATTTTAAGAAGAAATCAATTTTTTTTAATTATTTCTGTTTGCCCGCTTCGCTTTGAGGTGTGCAATTTTTATTGATTAAAATTTAGACTGAAAAATATTTCTTAGTATTTTTATTGATAATTCTAAATATTTAAAAAGCGAAAAAAAAATTTTTTATTTATAAATTATTCGAAAATAATTAATAAAATTTTGGGCTTAGTATCTGACGAAGAAATACCCGAGAGTAAAATTCAAGCGAAAAATGAACTTCGAAGTAACCTATATCGCTTCCAATTTCCCGAAGAATTTGATGATGTCAACGACGAGCTTGAACCAGAGTACCAACGATACGCAAAATGGCGGATATAAATTAAAAAAATCACCAATTAAATATTTAAAAATAACCTATAAGCTTATAAACATATAAAAGACATTACATCAAAAATATTTCAATAAATTTTAGCTTAAATTATTAAATTATTAAAAATTTTAACCATGTTGTAAATTTTTTTATTCATCAAGTTATACAATCGTACATTACAAAAAAAAAAATAATTATTTTTACGATCTCATTCCCGGTGTCTTGCTATAAATATAGTAAATATTGTATATTATATGCCGAGTGCCACGAGATTTAACAATATCATTGTTTAAGCTCAGTTTTATCTCGTGACACTTTTTTTTGAATAAAATTTTTAAGTTTATAACCAATCTTTGTCAATTGGAGAAATAAAAAATTGGGTTAGTTTATTTTATTTGTAATAAATTTGTAATTTAAAGTGAATTTTAACGTTAAAAGCTAAATCTCGACAAGATGACCGCCGGAACTCGACAAAATGGCCGTCGGAACATTTGAATTAGTTTGGCGCGTCGTCGCAAGAGTTTGAAATTTTTCCCGCCATTTCTTCAATTGACTAAGCGTTCAAAAATTAACTTTTAAAACTGGACTATATTTTTTTTTAATTTATTAAATTAAAAAATAAATATAGTCTTGTTTTGAAAAAAATTTAAGTTGTAAATATGTGTGATTGATTTAACGAATAATTTGGTAAAAAAAATTTTTTTCAATATCATTGAAGCGATATATATATATATATATATATATATATATATATATATATATATATATATGTAATAAAATAAACTTTTAAAGGAACTTAATGAATTGTTACTAATAATTATTCTTAATCATGAAGAAATAATAATACGCGTTGATTGTTGGAATAAAATAATAAAAAGTGTTATATTATATCGTTAAAAATCTATATTTGTATATAAATGTATATATAGTTAAATATATACATTTATAAATTTTTGTGTATAATAAAATACAAATATATTAAATGAATATGAATGAATGACAAATTAGCTGATATTTGTAAATAATTAATTTTAAAATAATATTCTTCATTGTTTATTAATAATGCTAAATTGTAAACTTAATATAATTATATATAAGAAATAAAATATAAATAAATATCGGTTATCAATAAAAGAAAAATTTAGGTTTTTATTTATTTACCTATTTTTATTTTTATTTATTTATTTTTTTAACTTTTACTTTTTTAAAAACAAAAAAATATGAAAACGTCAAAATTGTTAAAAATTTATTCTTCGCGAGTTAAAAATTTTTAATAAATATAAATATGTAGAAAATTTTTAATTTAAATAAAATGAAAAAGTAATTTAGATAGATTTATTTCTTCTAGAAATAAAAAATTTATTTAAAATTGCAACATTAAATTTTTTAAATATAACGCGCGAAATTTTTAAATTTAAATTAGAGAACTAATTTTTAGTTTTGAATTCTGCCGTTGTCGCTGTCAATACAAAATCATAACCTCCAACTGAGATGGGCTACATTTATAAAATAAAGCTTGACCTATTCGGTAAGTAAAAATTATAATTAAATAAAAAATAGTTTAATAAATTAATAAAAATTACAAATTCTTTAAAAAAATAGCATTTGTAAATTTCACAGGTCAATTGTTTTTAGTCATTATTTATTTGTCACAAAATTTCTTTAAATTATCAAACATTTGTTAAATTAATTGTAATTAAAAAAAAAAAAAAAACACAAATAACGGGTATTTTTGCATTATATTTAAAATAATTCTAGCAATTTTAACCACTACTAACCTAAAATATTCTATTTTCAGTTTATAAATAATAAAAAAAAATTAACAATGGCAAACGCAGAAACAGCAGCCAGAAATCGTGAACATTTCGAAAGTCTCCTAATTCTAGACAACAAAAATTACAAGCAAGTGTATGAGGCAATAAAAACAGGTGAACTACCAAAAGATGTTGTGGTTAGGGTACCGCCTGACTATAATTACTTATTAAGTTGCCATGATTTTGGAAAAATAATTGCTTCCGACGATTCAACCTTGAGAGCTCGTCAGAGCTTGTCAATTTTTCACGTTAGCATAGGCTTGGATGACCAAGCAATGGTGGATCAGTTGTTGGCTCTTAATGTCGATCTCCATGCTACCACAAAAGGCGTCCAAGCGCCATTGCGATTTGCAATCGAGGGTAACAAGTTGACAATAGTCGAAAAGTTGATAGCTGCTGGTGTGGATGTCAATGGTTATGGACCGGACGAATATTTGCCATTGACAATAGCCATACTTGATCAAAGATATGAAATGGCTAAATTATTGATCCGTCACGGCGCTGAAATTAATGTCACAGAATGTCGTGGAGCTTTGTCGCCATTGTGTCTTGCTGCTAGCATTGAAAATGGTGTAAACTTCATGGAGTTGCTAATTAAGCACGGAGCTGATGTTAATTTAATAGTGACTCAGCCAAATACAAGATGGATAACGACACCGTTGATGAGGGCTTGTCAGACTGGCACAAGAAAAGCAATAGAGTTCTTGATCAATCTTCCCAATATTGACATCACCAAGGTTAACAACAGAAATGAAAATTGTTTGTTTTGGAGTGTTTATACTCCACCCGCAATGGGCTTAGAATTGATCTTGAGTACTAATATTGATCTAAATACCAGAAACATTGATAACAACTTGCCGTTGCATTATGAACCAGACTTTAGACTAAACAATTTTTTGCAAAACTATACAATAAAACGTCACCTTATTAAATTAATGGTAGCTGGATTTTATATCTGTCAAGAGTACCGTGATATTCTTAAAAAGGATACTGAAACTGGTCCAATTCAAGCTGAATGTTCTAAAGAAGTCCAATTGATGATGAATACCTACGAATCATCAATTAACTGGTCCTTCTTTAGAATTCTTCGTACTTCACAACATCTACTGAGCTTGCGGTTCAAACACATTCAAGTTCCTGCTGGCAAGGAAGAAGAATGGATCGAGAAGTTTCCTATTTATGGAAGCATGCTTGCATTCCATTTGAAGAAAGCTCTACAGCGCAAGATGTTGCTTCAACAAGCCGAAGGAACGCTGTTTGACCTTTTTTATAAGCTTCTGCCTGCTACTTTTATCAACGACATGTTCTATTATTTGACTAATTATGATCTGTATCAATTAATAGAGTAATTAAGGCTAGTTTGGAAATTTGGATGAGAAAATTTAAACTATTTTATGATAGAACTCTTTTTATATGATATTATTCGAGAATGTTTTTGTAACTGTTTGTTAAATTACTTATTTTTATTCTTCATATTGATGATTTATCATTAGAGTCCGGACTTTTGTAATTTTTTAAATGAGTATTTATATGTGTAACCTCAAATTTTTATAAAGAAAAAAACACGAACTTCTTGGCCTCAATTATTATTATATAACAAATCAAAAATTTTTAATGATAATAATAATAACTCAAATTTAAACTTATTAAGAATTTTTTTTGTTAAGAAAATATAATTATTGTTATTATTATTAGACATAAATAATAATTATTTATGTAGATTAATTATAATAAACTTTATATACATATTTTGCTTTAAAATTTTTGTGAAATTTGATCAACAATTGTTTGTGTTGATTTTTTTAGTTGTCCTGTGCAATAAATAATAATATTTATAAAGTGTACCTTATTAAGCTTTCAAATTCCCGCCATTAGAATACCGCGGATGCGCGTGGACAGAGATTATCGTAAGGGCACCTTACAACACAAAACGTCTAAAATCACTTTACTCTTGAACTTGAGCTAAACAAGTAAACAACTAATTTGCAAGTAAAAAAATATTAACACATTGTTGAGTTATTAGCAAAGTTTCAGGTTAGTACTATAAAAAATTCAGTAGAATTTATGACATTGAAGTTAGCAGTCACTTGATCGTTGTTTAATATTATTTTAAAAAAAATAGCATTTGTAAATTTTCAAACTTCCCATATGTCAATTTTTTTCGTTACAAAATTTCTAAAAATTATACTAATAAAGTTAGCCGACATTTTTAATTTTTTTGATGTTTTTTTTTAATAATTGAATTATAACAAAAAAATATTTTTTAAAAATTGCACTTACAGTTTTTAAAGTTTTTGACAAGTGAAAATTTTTTTTTAATTTTTTTGTAATCATTTTTTAAATAAAAAAAAATTCTAAAAATTTTTACATGTCGGCTGACTTAATTTTCATAAACAACGGGTATTTTTGGATTATATTTAAATAATTCCAACAATTTCGACCATTAGTAACCTAAAATATTTTATTTTCAGTTTATAAATAATATTAAAAATTATTAACGATGCCAAACTCAGTAAGAGCAGCCAGACATCGTAAACATTTCGAAAAACTTTTAATTCTAGACAGAAAAAATTACAAGCAAGTGTGTGAGGCAATAAAAACAGGTGAACTATCAAAGGACGTAGTGGTTACGGTCCCTTGTTACTATTATTACTTATTAAATAGCCATGATTTTGGAAAAATAGTTACTCTCGACGATTCAAACCCCGCTGATCGTAGGAGCTTGTCAATTCTTCATGTTTGCATAGGTTTGGATGACCAAGCAATGGTGGATAAGTTGTTGGCTCTAAAAGTCAATCTCCAAACTACCACAGAAGACGTCCGAGCGCCATTGTGCTTTGCAGTCGAGGGTAACAAGATGACAATAGTTGAAAAGTTGATAGCTGCTGGCGCGGATGTCAATGATAATGGACTGGACGAATATTTGCCATTGACATTAGCCATACTTGATCAAAGATATGAATTAACTGAATTATTGATCAGACATGGCGCTGACGTCAATGTCAGAGAATGTCCTGGAGCTTTGTCGCCATTGTGTCTTGCTGCTAGCATTGAAAATGGTGTAAACTTTATGGAGTTGCTGATTAAGCACGGAGCTGATGTTAATTTAGAAGTGACTGAACCAAATACAAGACGGACAACGACGCCGTTGATGAGAGCTTGTCAGACTGACGCAAGAAAAGCAATAGAATTCTTGATCAATCTTCCCAATATTGACATCACCAAGGTTAACAACAGAAATGAAAATTGTTTGTTTTTGACTGTTAATGCTCCACACGCAGTTGGCTTAGAATTGATATTGAGTACTAATATTGATGTAAATACCAGGAACATTGATAACAACTTGCCGTTGCATTATGAATCAGACTTTAGACTAAACAATTTTTTGCAAAACTATACAATAAAACGTCACCTTATTAAATTAATGGTAGCTGGATTTTATATCTGTCAAGAGTACCGTGATATTCTTAAAAAGGATGCTGAAACTGGTCAAATTCAAGATGAGTGTTCTAAAGAAGTCCAATCGATGATGAATACCTACGAATCATCAATTAACTGGTCCTGCTTTAAAATTTTTCGTACTTCACAACATCTACTGAGCTTGCGGTTCAAATACATTCACGTTCCTGCTGGCAAGGAAGAAGTATTGATCGAGAGGTTTCCTATTTACGGAAGCATGCTCGCATTTCATCTGAAGAAAGCTCTGCAGCGCAAGATGTTGCTTCAACAAGCTGAAGAAACGCTTTTGGATATTTTTTATAAGCTTCTGCCTGCTACTTTTATCTACGACATGCTCTATTATTTGAGAAATTCTGATCTGTATCAATTAATAGAGTAATTAATGCTAGTTTGGAAATTTAAAATAAGAAAATTTACACTATTTTGTAATATTACTATTTTTATATGTTATTATTCAAGAATGTTTTTTGTAACTGTTTGTTAATCAACTTATTTTTATTCTTCAATGTTTAATAAATTTGTGATTAATCACAAATTGTATAAAATATAATTATATTGATTATTTATCAATAGAGTCCCGACTTTTGTAATTTTTTAAATGAGTATTTATTTGTTTAACCTTAAATATTAATAAAGAAAAAAAACACGAACTACCTGGTCTTAATTATTATTTATTTATTTATTTATTTATTTATTAACATACGCCTATCGGCAATATACATAAAGAAATTATTTAAAATTAAAGAAATTAAATTATGATTTAAATTGAAGCAAAGAACGAGAAAAAGAAAACTTTGTGTAGTTTATGTGTACATAAGCAACTGTCTTTTAATGTTTGACATAAAAGCACTGAAGGTACCACCGTAAAATTCCACTTCGCCATTTAATTTATTCACCAGGTTTACTATTCTGTCATGAGGTCCATTCACCACATAGCTTTTCGAAGACTTAGTAGTTTTCAGTAACCTTTTGCGCCTCAACATTATGTTGGCAGGCGCAAATTCGAAGCTGCTGCAGATGTCCGGGGCGTCAATATTCAGGAGATAGCTGGTGGGCACTTGGGTATGAGCACGTGTGAAGGCTATCACTGCCCATTTTTTGACATTCAAGTCAAGTCTGTTGTTTGTGCGCCATGTAGCTAGCGTGTTGATGTCATGCTGTAGGATCTCGCAATCTAGTTCGCTCGCTATAGTTCTGTAGATTTTCAGGTCATCTGCATACAGTATAAACTCTGAATCAAACTCTTTCCCAATGTCGTTGACGAAAATATTGAAGAGTATAGGGCCTAAGTGCGACCCCTGAGGAACACCTGAAGTGACCATGTATTCGTCAGATAAGTTACCATCAACCCTGACTTGCAGACGTCTGCCTGTTAGGTAAGACCGGAGCCAGCTGAGTGCGTGTCCATGTACACCGTAGTTTTTCAACTTCCTTAGTAAAATCTCATGATCTACCCTGTCAAAAGCCTTGCTGAAGTCGGTGTAGATAGCATGAGTCTTGTGACCGCTGTTCATAGCATTAAGTATGTAGTTGACGTAGGTGTACAGGTTGGTTGTCGTCGATCTGCTGCCTACAAACCCATGTTGCTTGGTAGAGATAATGTGTTTAAAGGAGGAAGTCAGTTGAGGTAAGACCACCTTCTCCATTAGCTTAGCCAGTGCTGATTGAATACATACGGGTCCGTAGTTGGAGACAGATGATCTAGGGCCATCCTTGTGTATTGGGCTGACGAACGAGACTTTCCAGTTTGCTGGGAATGTCCCAAGCTGAAGTGATTTATCGAAGATATGAGTTATGGGCTCACAGAGTCCGGCAGCGCAGTTCCTGAGGAAGATATTAGGAATCCCATCCGGTCCAGCTCCTTTCTTATTGTTAGATAACGAATCAAAAATTTTTAATAATAATAATAACTTAAAAATATAAACTTATTAAGAAATTTTTAAAGATATATAATTATTGTTATTATTATTATTACAAATAAATAATGATCATTCATGTAGATTAATTATCGTTAATAGATATCTCAATTCATAAAAAATTTTGCCTGTTTTGTTACTCTGGTATAATTTTATTTGCAACTGATAAATTTTTTTAAAAGTAATTTATGTATATTATTGTGTATACACATACATATTTTGCTTTAAAATTTTTGTAAAATTTGATCAACAATTGTTTGTGTTTATTTTTTTAGTTGTAATTTTTTTTTGTTGCCCTGTGTAATAAATAATAATATTTTTAAAATGTACCTTAAGCTTTCAAATTCCCGCCATTAAAATATGGCGGATGCGCTTGCGCAAAAATTATCGTAAGGGCTGCTCGTAACACAACGACTAAAATCACTTTAGAATTGAACTGTTTACAATTGAGTTTCAGGTTATATAGTACTATAATAAATTCAGTAGAATTTATAACACTAAAGTTAGCAGCTTTCGCATTATATTGAAGTAAATCCAACATTTTTAATTACTACTAATCTAAAATACAAGTTTTTTTCAACTTCCCGTTAAAAAAATTGAAAATTTAAAAAAATCAGGAAGTTATTGTTTTAGTTTATGAATATAATAACAAAAAATTAACAATGAAAAAAGCAAATAAAGTGTCCGAAGATCGTAAAAATTTTAGAAATCTCCCAATTTTAGACAAAAAAAATTACACGCAAGTGTGTGAGGCTATAAAAACAGGTAAATTATCAAAGGACGTAATGGTTAAGGTACCGTTTTACTGTTTTTCCTCATTGCGTCACCATGATCATGGAAAACTATGCACCTACTTAAGTTTACCTACAATAATTGATTATGATTGCTTGTCAATGCTCCACGTTAGCATAGCCTTGGATGATCAAGCAATGGTGGATCAGTTGTTGGCTCTAAAAGTCAATCTCCAAGCTACGACAAAAGAGATCTGAGCGCCATTGCAGTTTGCTATCGCAAGTAACAAGATGACAAGTGTCAAAAAGTTGTTAGCTGCTGGCGCGGATGTCAATGATCATCAACCGGACATACTGGACCACGATTCGCTATTGACATTAGCCATACTTAATCAAAGATATGAAATGGCTGAATTATTGATCCGTCATGGCGCTGAAGTCAATGGCAGAGAATGTAGTGATGCTCGGTCGCCATTGTGTCTTGCTGCTAGCTGTAATAATCGACTAAACATGATGAAGTTGCTAGTTAAACACGGAGCTGATGTCAATTTAGTAGTGACTGACTCATATGACCGATGGATAACCACACCGTTGATGACTGCTTGTTATAATGATTCACCAAGCTCAATAGAGTTCTTGATCAATCTCCCACAAATTGACATCACCGAGGTTAAGAACAAGAATGAAACTTGTTTGTTTTTGAATCTTAATACTCGAGATGCAGCCGGCTTAGAATTGATCCTGAGTACTAATATTGATGTAAACACCAGAAATGTCTATAAGTACTTGCCGTTGCATTATGAACCAGACTTTAGACTAAACAATTTTTTGCAAAACTATACAATAAAACGTCACCTTATTAAATGAATGGTAGCTGGGTTTTATATCTGTCAAGAGTACAGAGATATTCTTGATCAGGATGCTGAAACTGGTCAAATTCAAGCTGAGTGTTCTAAAGAAGTCCAATTGATGATGAGTACCTACGAATCATCAATTAACTGGTCCTTCTTTAGAATTCTTCATACTTCACAACATCTACTGAGCTTGCGATTCAAACACATTCACATTCCTGCTGGCAAGGAAGAAGTATTGATCGAGAAGTTTCCTATTTACGGAAGGATGCTCGCATTTCATCTGAAGAAAGCTCTGCAGCGCAAGATGTTGCTTCAACAAGCTGAAGAAACGCTGTTGGATATTTTTTATAAGCTTCTGCCTGCCACTTTCATCAACGAAATGTTCTATTATTTGAGTAATTTTGATCTGTATCAATTAATAGAGTAGTTGAAGCAAGTTTTTCAAATTTGAATGAGAAAATTGCTTTAAAATTTAAACTTTTTTATAATATATATTACTCTTTTTTAATGTTATTATCTAAAAACATTTTTTGTAATTGTTTATTAACTTGTTCTTTTCTTATTCATCAATTATTAATAAATCTGTCTTTAATCACAAATTACATAAAATATAATTATATTGATTATTTATCATTAGAGCCCGGACTTTCGCAATTTTTTAAACGAGCATTTATATGTTTAACCTCAAATTGAATAAATCAAAAAACGCTTATTAATATATCTCTCATTTGATAAAATAAAATTATTCATATTTTAATACTGCTGTAATTTTATTTGCAATTTAAACATTTTTAAACTTCCCGCTAAGAAAATTGAAAATTTTCAGAAAACGAAAAGTTATTGTTAAATAATTTCATGATTATTTATAACAATTTTAAAAGATTTTTGTGGTTCTATTATAAGTATATATTTTTTATCTGCTAATTTTTTCCCTATTTTTGCTAAATAAACAATATATACATTTTGCTTTAATATTTTTGTGAAATCTGATCAACAATTGTTTGTATTTATTTTTTTTTAGTAGTAGTTTAATTTAATAATAATAATATTTATAAAATGTGTCCTAAACTTTTAAATTTCCGCCATAAGAATATTGCCAATGCGCTTGCGCAAAAATGATCGTAAGGGGCGCTTACAACACAACGACTAAAATCACTTCACACTCCATTTTGAGCTCTCAACAGGTAAACAATTAATTTGCAAGTATAAAATTGTTAACACATTATTAAATTAGTAATAAAATTTCAGGTTAGTACTATAAAACATTCTGTAAAATTTATGACGTTAAAGTTAGCCGACTTGCTCATTTTTTATTTTATTTAAATAAAAATTACTTCCAAACAATATCATTTTTATGACACTGAAGTTAGCAGACGTCTAAAAATTTTTGATTTTTTTTTTTAATTAAATTACAACTAAAAAGATATTTATAAAAAATTGCACTTATATTTTTCTAAGTTTTTAACATATGATATATTTTTTTTAATTATTTAATTGAAATTTTTTCGATAAAAAATTTCTAAAAATTTTTAATTGTCAGCTAACTTCATTTTCATTCATTTTTAATTTTTTTTTACAAGTCAATATTTTTTGCTATAATTTATTACAAAAATAATTAAAATTATTAAATATCTGCTAAATTAATTTTCATTAAAATTTAATAAAATTCAACAAATTATGACACTGAAGTTAGCAGACGTCTAGAAATTTTTTATTAATTAAATTACAACTAAAAAGATATTTATAAAAAATTGCACTTATAGTTTTTCAAGTTTTTTACATATGAAATTTTTTTTTTTAATTTTTAAAGTGAAATTTTTCCACAAAAAAATTTCTAAAAATTTTGAAATGTCGGCTAACTTCATTTTCATAACAAATTTGTCTTGTTTTAAGGTTATGGCTGAAGTCTCGTGTTATCACTCCCTCCTGTACGACGCAATCAAAGTCAGCCATTGGATAACAATCCGCAGACTATTAGAGCGCCTGGACGTAAACAGTGTTTTAACAAAAACGGGACCTGAAGCAGGCTTCACAGCGCTCCACTTGGCCTGCTTGGAAAACAACGAACCCTTGGTAAGATTTTTAATATACGATAATAGCGCAAACGTTGAAATACCAGCCGATGATGGCACCCTTCCGATTCACTTAGCCGGTTTACTCGGGCGCCGTAAAATTCTATTGGCTCTATTTGGAGCAAGCGCTAATATCGACGCTAAATTTGGGCGGGAAACTTTCTCTAAGTACGCTAGAAAAGGCAGATGCTTTTGGCCCGATGATTTTGGGGATGAAATAACACTGCTGACTTACGCAGTTATAAATGAAAAAATTAAGTTAGCCGAGTCATTGATAGGCTTTGAAGCTGATGTTATGGTAAAGAGTATTACCAACAAAACTCTATTGATGTATGCAATAGAAAGTGATGATTACAAACTAGCTATTGAAATGATCAAATTTTGCGAAGATTGTGATGATCTATCACTTTTAGATGCCGTTGATGATGATGGTTTGCGTGCGATTCATTACATAGAGCACGAAGAAAAGTACCGAGAGTACAGATATAAGTACAGATATGATGAATACCAATTGGGTTTTATGAGGCAGAAGTATAGTTTAGTAGAAAAGTTAATTGATTTAAATGTTGATATCAATGCAACTGTTAATGGCAAGTCTGATACATTGCTTCTCAATATGGCGGCGTACAGAGGATGCGTTCCAGTTGTTAGAATCTTGATGGCGCTGTATGACGCTTCTGTAGAAACTGAAGCTTCGTGTTATGCAGCTTCTCCAATAGAATATCCTGAGAAATATTGCCGTTGGCATGATTGTCTGGCACTGGATGAAGATGTGGAAAATAACAGAGACCTTTGTATTGAAGTTATAGTGAAAAATCTAACGAACCGGCGCATATTTAATCTACCTGTATATTCAGATGAATTATGGGATTTGGATAACTTGATTGCTAGAGATCCTAGAGTTAAAAACTTGGTGAAGAGACACGAGAAAATCTTTATTAATAGATTTCTTAAGGAGAATTATGTTCACTATGGAAATGAAAGTAAAACAGTTCATGAGCTTGCCATGATGATTTCTGATAGGAGAATGCTGAAGAGACTTGTTGGGAATAAGGAACATATTGAAGCTATTAAAAAGGCTATTGGCGGTACAACGGATTGGTACGATTCTGATAGTGAAGATTGTGAAGATGATGATGATGATGATTTGTTGAGTCTTGATTTGGATCCTCTGCCTGCTACTTACGGGGATTTTACTAATATGTTGATGGGGATTATTAGAAAGGCTGAAAAAAGAAGCGAGCTTCTGGATATGCTAAGCAAAATTGCACACCTCAAAAAGGCTATTCCTTTACCGTATGAAATTATTTTATGGGCTGTTGACTATTTGAGCAACAAGGATTTGGAAACGTTTGTTAAGTGTTTTTACAGTCGTTAGGTGTATGTGTTAATTAGTTTTTTTTATGAGTATATAATTATATTTTTAGAAGAAAAAATATTATCTAAGTATTTATGTTCATGTGAATATAGTTAAGTAATTTAGTTGTATTTTTCTGTTTTATATTAAATAGATAAGTGTTTTTTAAATGAAAAATCTTAAGAATGTAAATTAGAGCAATGATAAAAGCCTTAAAAAGAAGAAATAGATAAAAAGACAGCTATTATTTATTATTGGCGTTGTAACAAAATAACCGCGGACAAAATAACCGCGACAAAATAACCGAACGACAAAATAATTAGATGACAAAATATTCTCAAAATCGTGTTGTGCCCTTTTAATATGGTTTTTGTGTGTATTTATTCGACATTAGACCAACACAAATGCGGGTAATCGTGTTGTGCCCTTTTAACATGGTTTTTATGTGTATTTATTCGACATTAGACCAACACATGAGATTGTTGCCATGTTTTGCCCTTTCTAACATGGATTTTTTGTATGTTTATCAAAGAATATTTTTTTCCAAAATATTTTGTCCGTGGTTATTTTGTCCGCGGTTATTTTGTCGTCCGGTTATTTTGTCGCGGTTATTTTGTCCGCGGATATTTTGTCGCGTCACCTCTATTATTATCATTTTTATTGATAACATATTACATTATTCATTTAATAAACAGTTTCTTTATGAAAATAAAAAAGTGTTATTATAAAAGTATATTTAATCTATATCTTCATTGTATTTCTTCCAAATTAATTTTGCTTAACCATTTTTTCAATTCTTGCCGTAATCATAGTAAAAAAATATTTCAAATTATCATCACCATCTTCTTCTATCTCAGCAGCTTCAACAACGCTAACAAGTTCTTTATCTTCCACCAAAATTTTCACAGCTTCATCATCAAAAACTTTGACCGCAAGTTCATAAAAATTCAAACTCTTATCCCCAAAATGAACAGCCTTCTTCCTCAACAATTCCTCAATAAATTCCTTCTGATAAATCTTAACAATATTCCTAACCTCATCATCTTTAGCAATAAATTCGTTCATCAATTTGATTTCTTCTTCAGGCACAGCTAACCCAAAACTTCTTCTAAAGTGCAAATCCTTAACAATCCACTCTAGACTCAATTTTCTGCGTTTCTCTACCTCTTTTTCCGCATCAAAATCTTCATTTCTTCCTTCAATTCCTCCTTTCCTTAAATACTTCTGAGGATCTTCAATTGGAGAAGTAGCCAATCTCAAAGCTTTGGATTGCTCAATAGAAGCACTAAGAGGCAGAATAATTTGGAGAATTTCATAGCAGCTTCTATAAGCTGCAGAATTTATCAAAAGCGTATCAGGATCTCCATTGATTGGTGCATAAGCATCTGGACCAACGCGTATGATCAGAGATTTAAGATACTCACGATCTTCTAATCCTAACTTCAATTGCTTCTCATCATATCTAAAGCCTCCGTACTTGTTTTCATGCAAAATATAATGAATTGCATGTCTTCCATCACTATCGCGAGCATTTAACACATCTTCTTGAACATTTTCCACCATTTTAGCTGCGATTGTCATCGCCGCCCAATCATTGTCTTCTTCAAGAGCGTACATCAACAATGTCTTATTTTTAACGCTTTTTACGGTAACATCTGGGTTGTACTCCATCAAAAGAAGCATCACTTCCCGATCCTTATTCAGAATTGTAAAAGTAAGCATCGTCATTGTCCCACCAAAGTCATCCGACCACAATTTGTCTTTTGCGTATTTTTCATGGATGCTTTTATCAAATTCGATGTTAACATTTGCACCGACATCTAATAAAACGCGAGCAATAATATCTTCTCCGTGAAAACAAACTATATGAAGTGGTTGGGCGCCATCTTCTGCTACTGCGTTAACATTTGCCTTATATGTCTCCGCTAATAATATTGCCAAGGTTAAGTCGTCGTAATGACACGCCATATGCAATGCTGTGTACCCAGCTTGTGGCCCAGTTGGGATTAAAACTTCGTTCACATCAGCGCCGTCAGCTAAAATGCTTTCGATGGCGCGGTAATCGGTCTCTTCGATAGCTTTACGCAAAATGGACGACTTGTTGGGTATCTTGGAAGAATCTTCCGCAAGCACATTTGTTTCCATTGTCTCGGAATTGGCAGCCATGTTTGTTGGAATTGAATCTTCATTCATTTTTTTTTCTGCAACAGATGAAGACTATTTTATTGTTAAAAGTCTTGTTTGAAGATGATAATTTTATTAATAATATTCGAATTAATCTAATTATTTAACTTTAATCTCTTTCTTTTCTTACCGAGAAGTTAAAAATAAAACAATAAGACAGAAAGCAAGATAATTTAAAATAATAAAATGAGACAATTTTTTAAGATATTTTTTAAGACAATTTCTAATACAATTTTTAAGATAAAATATAACACAATTTTTAAGACAATTTCTGAGACATTTATATAAAACAACTCATGACTTTGAATATCTAAGTTTGAATTTAGCCACGCTTTTAGATGTAGACACGTCGCGTTCAGCTAAGAAAATTTCGGTCGGTAACTTAATCAGCTGTTAGGTAAAAAATAAATAATAAAAAAATTTTAATGATAAATTTTAAAAAGATTAGACGCCTTAAATAATTTATTTGTTATTTTTAAAAATATATGATAATGATAACTATAAAAACATATGTAATTTTAAATTTTGGCGCACATTTTATTTCTAATCATTATTAAAAGTACCTACAAATTTATAAACTTATTATTATCAAACTTACTCTATAATTATTGATATGTTAAAAATACTTATAAAAAAATTGAAGAAATACTTACAGATTTACTCAAAACTTCTTTTATTGTAGTAAAAAACAATTACTTAAATTCAACTAGTCGTATATAGTATGCTCTATTATAAATCCAAAGTATTACAAAGCTACTCAATAGAACTGTCTTTCATATACAGGAATAACAAAGAACTGAAGTCTCCCCAGTGATTTAGGACCTTGGGTTTTTTCGAGAAAATTCCATTCCCATGACTATCTTCATTATGACGCATGCGTCTAATAATTATACCTATATATGATATTTTTACGATGGAATTTAATTTAAAACAAAATATTTATATTATATAGTAATTTAGACATTCTCGTAGAGAAGAAATTAAAAAGAAGAAAGGAAAGGGTATCTAAGAAAAAGATTAAATTTTATTTCTTCTTTTATTATAACAATATCCATATACAATATCTTATAAATCTATTCTCTAAAAATAATTATAAAATCATAAATAATAATTTGTAAACATATATGACAAAGAAGCTATATTTCATCTTCTTTTAAATTATATAACATAAAATTATATACAAAGAAGAATATACATTTTTTTTTTTATAAATTTAATGTTTTATATGCAAGCTCTATTGTACTTTGACATGTAATTTATTTATTTATCTATTTTTTCATTGAAAAATCTAACAACCATATCGCCAATTTCAAGGTTATAAAAAAGTGTATATAGTAGATGAAGACATAACCCTGTTTAAAAATATTGATTGAAAATAATTATAAATGATGAAATTAGAATTTTCAATTCTTTTGTCTGTATGCAAGTAATTCATGAATTATTTAGAAGGGAATATTCATTAATTATATCTCTTAAATCACTATTACAAAAACAATCCATAATCTTTCTCATACAAGGATAAGGTAACTTCTTAATAATATTAAAAACAGTAAACCTATCAACTTCATCCAACAATTTCTTCCTCATCAGCGCTTTGTAAAAGCGCCCTCTAATCAGACTTTTATACTGCGCAAACTCATCTCCATAACCTTCAGACTTCAGAGTCTCAAAAACAACTTCATTCTTCAGAAGCACCACCATTTTGTTCAAGTCCGCAGTAACGAAATCATACAGAGTAACATCATCATCATCATCATCATCACTAATACCATATTTCTTCATACCTTCAATTTCTTTCTCATACTCACTTTCATACTTCTTAACATCTAAACCTCTACAAATTAATTCTTCACAATCCCGTTTATTAACACAAACATTCAAAAGCTTCATTTTTACAAAATATTGACCGACAAACTCTATAAAACCTTCAAGATCATCATCTTCTTTGCTTTTGTTCTTAAAAGCGTAATCTAGCGGAGTGAAATCTTTATCACAGACATTGTACTCAGCGCCAAACTCCATTAACAATTCAGCCGCCATTTTGTGCCTGTACCAAAAAGCCTTGTGAAGTAATGTGACTCCATTTTGATCCTTAATGTTAACATCAAGCCCTCTTGTGGCCCAAATTTCAACAAACTTCCCAAAATTCTGATCACTAACCAAAGATTTGTTAAATTGAATCGCTAAATGCGGCAAGGAGTTAACTGACCTATCTTTCATCAGATCAACATACAATTGATACCTTACAAGCTTTTCCAACTTCTCAAACTTCAAAGCAAGCTCAAGAATATCAAGATCAAGCCTTCTAGCAGCTGAGGTCAAAATGGCGTTCATATTCACAAAATCTAACTCAATATTTTCATTTCTAACCAAACACTCAACAATATTATAGTCTTCTTTGACAATATTCGCATTCCTCCTAGCGGACACTGCCGCAAATATAGGTTTGTACCCTCTGTGGTCTCGGAAGTTAACATCAGCGCCTCTTGCGACTAGAAGCTTAACTATTTCTTCTCTGTGGTACTCGCAAGCTAGGTACAGCGCAGTGTACTCTGTTCCGTAAGGCGTAAAGTATGTTTTATTGCAATCTTCGCCATTGTTTAACAAAACTTCGACGACATTACAGTAGCCGTAGACAATAGCGATGTGAATTGGGTACAAATTGTACTGGTCGACGTTCTTGGGGGCGCTGCTGTAGTAAAAGTCGTACTTAATGTCCCCGCTGGCGCCATTTTGTAGCAGCAAGTCCGCCATTTTGCTGTCGCCAATTCGGCAAGCTATATACAGCGCAGTTTGCGATCCGTAACGCGAATAATTGATAGAATTGACGTTTATATTGCGTTTTAATAAAAGTTCTACGATTGGGTAATAGTTTTTTTGCACGGCGATGCATAAAAAATTTTTGGCGGGCATCGCGGCGCTGATGTCGACTTCTGGGCATTTTTTTAAAAGCTTTTCGAGAAGCTTGTGGTGGCTGCTTTCTAGCAGGTCTGCTAGAAGCTTTAAGTAGCTTTCGGGTGAAATATTCGAGTTGGTTATATGATCCACGAGAATTTCAAGGATTTCTAGGTTGCCGCGTTCTAGAGCGATGTCGAATGAATTTTGCTGGGATAGATTTTTTTTATCTATCTCTGCGCCAATTTCTAAGAATTTTTTGACAGTGTGAATTTTATTTGATTTCACGGCTAGGTTTAAGGGAGAGTTGAGGTATTTTTCTGTGGGATTGTTCACTGGGGTGTTTTTTGAGAGAAGATAGGTTATGATTTCATCCTGAAGGTAGTCGGTAGCCAAGCAGAGATATCTATATCCGGAAAACCAAGGATTGGATATTTTTAAAGGGTTTATTATGTTTTCTACTGTTTTTAAGTCGCCTTTTATTATTCCTGCTATTAATTTGTCTTCTTCAGGATTGAAATCGGCCATTTTTTGAGTTTTTACTATAAAAAAAAAAAAAAATTTACTTTTATAATGAAAAATTTTTGAATTAAATTAATTTGAATCAAGAAAATTTTTTTTAATTAAATTGAAAAAATTAAATTCTTTACTTGATTTAAATTAATTTTTTTTTATATATAGGTTTACAAATAAAATATTTTTAAATATAAAATTATTAAGATTTGCAAAAATAATATTTAAATTGCACACCTCATAAAGCGAAGCTTAAATTTTTTTTAACTTAGATTTGAATATAGGCACATTAAAAAAAACTTGATGTGTTTTATATTAAATTTTTTGAAAGAAAAATTAATTATAAAATAAAATAAGTAGGTCAAAAAATTTTATAAAAATTGTTCTTACCTTGAATAATTTATTTATTTACTTTGAAAAATTTATGGACCAACAGCTGTTAGACAAATTAAAACAATAACACATAACAGCTGATTTCTTGAAATCGATTATTTTAGCTTCCTTACAATTTACAACTCTGCGCAACTCTTAGCGTAAAGCGCTAAGTTTAAAACTTTAAAAATACGAAAATTAATTAATTAATTATTTTATTTATTAGCTGAAGAAATAAAAAATTCTTCAGTGAAGAAATAAAATCTTCAAAAAATTAATTTTTTATTTAAAATTTTTCATTTAATTAATAATCTATTAAACTTATTTTTTATACTTAAAACTCCCATAAATTATTTAAAAAAAAAAAGAAATAATTTTAATATAATAGAATTTATTTAAATACAAAAATTGCAATAAATATTACACATAATGCCTTAAGAATTATAAAAATCTAAAAACACAATCGGAATGGTTGTACTTTACAACAGACAAAAACTTTACCCACAATTTAAAAAAAAAAAAACAACCAACCTATGGAAGAATTAATCCTCTAGAGGATCAGATTAAGACGACCACATGTAAAAGTAAGATTCCTGCCAGTGCGGCAAGTACTTGGCAACTGGATCGGCGATGAATCTGGCAAGGGGTATGTTTTTGCTCATTTTATTCAACAAAGAGTTAATTTTATCCTTGCTACACTTTTCAAAGAACGGCGAGCGCAACAAGTACAGCACGACATTCATTTTCCGTCTGATAATTTCCTGCTTTTCTTCTTTAGTATATCGCAGGTTAGCCGACTCCTTGGAGATGGTGAAGAGACTAAAAGCATCTAGAGTGAGCGCAGTGGCCCAAGGTAGCCAACTTTTGTTCTCTTTTAGCATCAAGCTTGTCAGGTGGATCAATGGCTTCAGTATGTACAGTGTCTAGAATATTTTTAAAGTTAGTCTGGTTCATTTCAAAATTTTACAGAATATTATTTAAAAGAATTTTTTTCCTAAAAAAAAGTAAAGAAAAAATATTTTACTTCAGAAAGTGATAAATTTTTGAGCGATTCTGAATTTGGAGACTGAATCCGATTCTCTTCACCGTACAACGGAGTGAGCTTTGACCACTGGCCGGTTTCTAGAGGACCTGAATAGTGCACGCTCCTTACAACAAGGCCTGTACGGCGCAACTGGTAGCCTTCTTTGGGGATATGCTCGTTGCGGAGGACTTTGTTGAGCATGTCATGGTTCAAAGGAGAGATTGCTGGCACTTGGATGATCCGCTCTTTATTTCGATGGACCAAAAAAAGCCTAAGTAGTGCTCTGAAAGGTAATAAAAAAAAATATTAAAATTTATTAAAGAAAGTTCGAACGTAACTAATGAGTCAAAATAGTGTTGAAATTTTTTTTTAATTTTAGTCTTATTCCCAATATTCGTCAAAATTCTTTATTTTAATTTAAAATAATTTAAACAATTTAATAATTGATGATTTTTACTTATTTAATAATGTAAAGTAATAAAATAACTTTGGTATTTATTACTTGCCGGAATAAATAAACAGATTTGGAAATAGCGCGGTTGATTGTACCCATAACCTGTAGACGTGGATGAGTGTGTGAGTTAAATTAAACATTTCTCTCTCTGTAACTATATTTCTATCCTTTTGTTTTTTCTCAGCTGTTGACGCGATGTTGTCAAATTTTTATTCGAATAAATGGCTGACGATAAACCAGTTACAAACATTAAATTTGACTTTAAATATTTCAACAAATTATATCGGTAATGTATTTATTATTAAATTGTTTTTATATTTTGCAATAATCCAACGTTTTGCGTGTATAGTTTTTTATCCGTTAAAGTTGGGAGGTTAATATTGACAAAAAATAATTAAAATCTCGACAAAACGTTTGTCCGCCATAAGAGCCCGTGTATAAGGAGATAAAATATGTAATTTTTAAAATTTAATATCTAAGTAACTAAACGGTGAATCTTTTTTCAATTTTGGGATTAGATAAATTACGTATTTATTTATACGTATACTTGATTTCAAAGCTCAAAGTTGGAAATTATTTTTTACATTAGATTCGCTCGAACCTCCGTAAAATAAAAATTAATAACTTACTTAACAGATTGTATAACAAATATAATAATCCATTTTCCATAATCTCCCCACAATTTTTTAGCAGTTACTTCAAATAACGCTTCAGTATACTCTAGAGTAGATAACCATATTTTTATTTGCGACTTGAATTGTGGTAGTTGCAAATTTCTGTACTTTATACTATAAATTAGCCGATCATTTAGCAGTATCAATAAATTGGGCAACGAGTAGATAAATTCGCTAGCCATCGACGATTCTGAAAAGCGACCTAAAAATTGAAAGAAAAAAATTTTATTAATTAGATCAATAGACATATTCTCCTGATAAATCCACGTTGCGTCAATATAAGGGCATTAAACCTACGCCACGTAGATATAAGGGCCTTAAATCCACGTTGCGTGGATTTATCAGAATTTTTGTATGTATGGATAGAGACTTTAAATAAATAAATAAATATACCTGCAGTAAAATATGATAAAAACTGTATGGTCTTTTCAATATCAGCAATTGAATGCGGATTTGATGATATCCATTGCTTGTAAGTATCCCAATACGATTTTTTTTTCGGTAATGACTGGCCGACCATTTTTAAATAACAAACTTTGATTAAAATAAACACAAAAAAGTAAATTTTTTATTAAAAAAAAAATTATTTATTTGTTTTGGTCATGTATAACTTTTTAATTATTCAGATTATTTTTTTAGGTTGTTTTCGAATTATTGTTATGTTTTCACCAGTGCTGCCAGAGCTCAACTATCTCAGTACCCTCGTGACTAGATTGAATTACCCGTTTTTACCCAACAGAGGGCTAGGCTTTACCTGAATTAAGTGCTATCTAATAAAATATTATTTTTCCGCGCAAAATTATAAAAAAAAAACATTTAAATTATAACAATTAAATTTTAATTTGATGTTCTTAAATAATCAGGAGAATACATAAATAATTTAAATCAGTAAATTATGCGGTTAAATTTATTATATTAAATAATACAAAAAAAAAAAATTTAAGTAATGGATATATATGATTGTATATAATTTTCAAAAATAAAAAAAAAATTCTGTTAATTTAAAAATGAAAAGAAAAAATTTCGCTCACCAAGTACATACCAAAATTGTTTCTTATAATTGCACGACTCATGATGCGAAGCATCAGAGAAGAGTGCTTATTTTTTATAACTAACTGAGCATTATGAGTCGTGTATAACTTTTTGTATATATCAGTTTAATTATGTTTACAATCATCAAGATAAATGTCTTGATTTAGTTTTTTCTAATTTGGCTTGCTTGGTGGGGGGATTGTCCTGGTCACTGGTTGGTGTGGATCCTTACCACCCGGTTCTCAATGTTACTATCAAATATCATAAAGCAGTGAAAACTGCTTGCTCTTCTCCTATTCATCATGAGATAAACTTTAAATCCATTGATAGTGATAAATTAGTAGTAGAGCTACTTGCTGTTTTGACTGGGATTCTGTCCTCCAGCCGAGCAACCCAAACATTAACTGTAATTCTTTACACAATGTATTAAACTCTATATTTAAGTCATCTGAAATAGTTAAAAAGAAAATTATTTTACAAGATAGATAATAGTTTGGATGTTTATAAAATGAGTAGTTCTAAATGTTTTACAAAACTTTGTATGGCAAACATTGTGTATAAACTGGAGCATTGAATTTACTCTTGCTAATTAATTCTATAGTGACTTATATAAATATTAATATTAATTTTTAAATTAAAATAATGTATTAAATTCTATGTAATATGGAACCCGATTAATGGCTTTGCTGTAGGGTTCATTGAACTAATAAAATAAATAAATATATTATACATATGTATATATGAAAAATGCATATGTGGCTACTCAAATGAAAGCTCTTGATGAGTGTAACATCAGGATGAGCTTATATCTTTAAAAACGTCAATATTTACGAAAGTACAGTGCAATTTAACAAAAGTCATTATTTAAAAAGCAAAATTTTATCTATTTATAGTTTACAGGTCACGGCAGTCACATAGTGACTGCAAGTTTGCTAATATTTTTTAATTTACATAATAAATAAATTGAAATTACTATAAAACTAGTCACTAATAAAAAATTAAAATTAACAATCATCATCAGCATACATTTCATTAAAAGATTGCCATTCGTTGTTGGTAAGATATTCAAATATCTGTAAAAGACAGTCATAGGGTATAAGCCAATAAGTAATCAATTTCAACACGACCAATTTTCCCCACTGCTCCCGAATAGCAATTCGTTTCTTGGTTGCTTGTAATCGTTCTGAAATAATGTCATAGATATTGTCCATCTTATGAGAAGCGGGAAAAATCATACAAGCTGGATGATAATTATCATTTCTTGCCACTTTCTCATATGTTCTATAAGACGCAGTAACTACGTCATAAATAGACATTTCGCTGTCACCAAACAAAACTTTATGAGATTTCATTACAGGAATTAATTTTTCGTATTTTATTTCATATATGTCAACTAAATTTTTAATATCTTTACTCTTTGATAATCTTTCATTGCTGGTTAAATCTTTAATGATATGTTTTCCCAATAATTTAACTTCTTCTGTGTGGACTGGATATCCAAACAAATATTTAACATATCTATCTTCAATAATTAGACGTTTAAATTTATTCATGTCAAAAAATTTTTTGATTATTCGGTCAACATTAAAATTATTACTACTTTCAAGCCCATAAAAAAGTGGTCGAGCTTTCAAGTTAAAATAAGTTTGCTTTTTTAATAAAAAATTTAACTCATTAAAATAACCGTTAAAAGCTGCTATGTGAATAGGTAAACTTTCTGGACCATTGTTACCCATCACATCTAAGTTTGCTCCACGTTCATATAGTGATTTTACAATTTCAAGTCGTTGAGATTTTAAATAAAAGCAAGAAGATTGATATTTAAATAAATAATGAATTGCAGCAAATCCATTGTCATCTCGTCTATTTAGTTCTTTAGCTACCAAATTTTTCACCAAAAATTCTATCAAGCGCTCATCACCATTTTTAATAGCACGCATTAAGAGTGTTTTATTTTTACTACCCAACAGTGTTAAATTTGGATTGTACTTGAAATACTTTTTTATGTCATGTTTATTGAAAAATAGATAGAAAAATAATGGCATTTTGTCTGTAAAAGTCGAGTTCCAGTTATGATCTTCTTTCTTATGTTTAACGTAATGATCATGACTCAATTCTGCATGGATACTGCAACCTAACTCTACAAACTTATCTACCATGTCAAAATTTCCTTTAAATGCTGCTAATTCAATTGGCTGAACACCGTCATCAGCTTTTGCAGTTGGATTTAAATTATTGTTTTTTTGCAGTAACGACACAATAGGTGTATAATTGTGAATGCACGCATGATGTAACAGTTTGTACCCTGCAAACTCTCCAGATTTTAATTCCAATGGAAGTTTTTTTTCCGGATCCCATTCGTCATACGAGAAGGTGTCAGGCCAATAATTAAAATTTGAAAACATTTCTGAAAATAAAACACATCAATATAAATAATATAGTTAGTATAACAAATTTTTAAATTGTCCATTTTTTTTTGTTAAAATAAATAATCAAATTATCTGCTAAATTTAGTTTAAAGAAAAAAATTTTAAGTCTTACTTGCAGCTTTTATTTTAAATAACTTTTGATATTTATTAGACTAGGTATAATAAATCAAATTTATGTAGAATTATAGATCTTTATACTCCACGTGTAAAAAAAAAAAAATGATTTTATAATTTTAAAATTATAAAATCAAATTTATATTACACCTTTTAGAATAAAATGAGTGCGCGTTTATCAAAAAAATACTTTTAGTACAATTAAAAATTTTATTTTAATGCACTTTGTATGGAAAAAAAATTACTGTCGAAAAATAAATCTAACGTGGTCAAAATTAGAAGTCTGTATGGTGTTTGGTTGGATTTTGCTATTTTCCATGTGGTCGCGAAAATTCCAAACACTATAGTTCAATTTAGTTGTGCGCATGCACTGTATTTACTATTTAGTATACAGTATAAAATGGCGCCATATAGTTTCAAATTTTGAAAACGATAATTTTGAGAAATCTATATGTTTAAGGAAGTTTGAGCGTAACTAATGAGTCAAAATAATGTTGAAATTTTTTTTTAATTTTAGTCTTCCCAATATTCGTCAAAATTCCTTATTTTAATTTAAAATAATTTAAACAATTTAATAATTGATGATTTTTAACTTATTTAATAAATTAAAGTAATAAAATGACTTTGGTATTTATTACTTGCCGGAATAAATAAACAAATAAATAAATAGCGCGGTTGATTGTACCCATAACCTGTAGACGTGGATGAGTGTGTGAGTTAAACATTTCTCTCTCTGTAACTATATTTCTATCCTTTTGTTTTTTCTCAGCGGTTGACGCGATGTTGTCAAATGTTTATTCGAATAAATGGCTGACGATAAACCAGTTACAAACATTAAATTTGACTTTAAATATTTCAACACTTAGTGTAAACTTAGTGTAAACTCGGTGTATACTTAGTGTCAGTGTAAATTAGGGGTTTATTTGGTGTATACTCAGTGCATATTGAGTATACACCAAATACACTCCAAGTTTACACTGAATTTACACGGTGTATATGCGCACAATATACACGGAGTTTACACCGAGTATACACTAAAAAATTTTGCTAAGTCCTCAGAACAAAAGTTGTGAAAAAAATTAAAAAAAAAAAAAATTGAAATTAAAAAAAATCAAATTTTGAAAAAAAATTAATATTTTTAGGTAAAGTACTCAGTACTTGAACAATTTTAAAAATGGCCCTCGTACTTGAACAGTTTGGAAATTCTTATATTATTAAAAAACTCCGGCAGTAAACATTAATATTTAATGTATATTAAGTAAAGATAACTTGATGTCTTAGTTAATGATACAAGAAATATTTTTTAATGTCAAAAAGCTAAATATTATATTTTATTTAATATCTAATGACGGGATCATTGAAAGTGTCGATTAGTATATCCATTTTTGAATGAAAATGATACCACAACAATAGAAAAATGGCGAAATAACCCAAAATATTTGAGAATTCATCAAAAAAACTTAACCAATCAAAAATATAGATCATTTTGCAAAATATTCTGTTGTTAATAATGAGTTTTAATTATTTTTTTTTATATTTAATTTAGCTGTTCGGGTATACCTCCCAATTTCAAATGTAGGACCCAAAAGTTGAACGACATAGCGCCGTGTGTTCAAGTATACCGTCTCTCATTTTTACGTGACTGCAGTACTTGAACTGTCTAACTCAATGTTAAATAAATATTTTAAAGTCTTTTAAAAAATACTTTTAATCGTATGGTAACAAAAAATTATACAAATAAAGAAAATAAAAAAAACTATAAACAAAATTTATTATTTTTAGGGCGAATATTAGTGTTTGAGAAATAAAAAAAAATTACACGTTCTAACCTCACATTGTAAACAAAAGGTAAAAATACATTTGAATGTTTCTTAAAGTAAAGGACTTAAATGTATGTTTAATGTTAATTTTATAATATAATTTAGCAGATATTTGATAATTTTAAGAATTTTTTTAACAAGTAAATTATGGTAAAAAAAATTGACATTTAGAAATTTAAAAAAATTAAAAATGCACAATTTTTTAAAAATATAATTTTTTAGAAAAAATTTATTTACTTGCTAAAAAAATTAAAAAATAGTCAAGTGACTGCTAACTTTAATGTCATTTATAATAAATACTTATTTTTGGGCCTAAAATCTTTTATTTTTATTTTAACAAAAAGTGTCTAAAGCCATACTAAATGATTGTTCAAGTTCTGGTACAGAGGTGTTCAAGTACTGCAGCCTGTCACAGTTTAATGTTCAACTACTGGGGCTCTTGAAGGATTTTTTTAAATAATTGAAAATTATTTTCTTTATGTAATTCTGGTTTTTTATTTTTAATATATTTAGAATTGAATATATTTGATTATATGTTGTTGATTCGTTTCAGGTCGATACAGAAACACTTATTTTGGTGGTAAAAAATTTTTTCCCAGTCACACTTAAAAAATTTTCGACTTTGCTTACAGCACTTAGAAATTTTTATGAAAATGGGACTTGAAAAAAATTTTTGGTGTAAACTTGGTGTACACTCAGTGTATA